CAAGATGCAGATCCACTTGCATTCCCCAAAAAAAAGAAAAGCAGAAGAAAACTAGAGAGAAAATTAAAGGAGGATAGAATGGCGCTTAGGTGCTAAGCCAAACTCAAATTCAAGGCACTTCACTTGCATTCGAATGCGTGCAACAAACACTATGCTAATCAACGGCCATAAAAACTGGCTATGAAGTAAACACACACGAGTTGTGGCAGAAACGAAAAAAAAAACAATAAAGAGGCAAACCAATGCAGAACGAAGTGCATAAATCTCGAATGGAAATTATGCACACACACGCAGTGAAGTGTGCCAACAAAAAACCGAGGGTGAAACGGAAAAAAAAGAAAAAAAACTGAAAAAGAAAAGGAAAAGCAGGGGAGAAAAGCGTTGAGACAAGGAAAATGCCAGCTGACGCCTTTGCTTTTGCTGGGGGAATCAATCTGTACGGGGAGCTTAGAGTGGCTTAATAGCCAGCATACCTCACCCACTTTTAGTGCTCCCCCCTCCCACTTTCCCCCTTCCACCCACTCCTTTTCTCAAAAGATACTTTCCAGACGCGCCGCAGATGTCTATTGGCTGGGCTCACTGCTTGCCACATTTAAATACAAATTAAAAAACAATTAAACATTTTCCCCCGACCCACGCGAAAATGCGCCCACGCCCAAAAATAATTAAGCGCATAATTATTTAATTTGACGAGTGTGCGGGTGGGTGTGTGTGTGTGGCTGTGTGTTTGACTGCCTGGGGGAATTCATGAGGAAGTGCCTCATAAGCCAAAATGAGCGAACAGGACAAACACGAGCGTATTGAGAAATGCTGGCGATATGAAAATTAATAGACGCACTTCCAAAGTGGCAAAAGCAGGAACAAACAAGGCGGCGAAACGAAGTGGGTGGCTCGGAACACTTGAAGTGTCGTGTGAACGGGTGCTCTCGACTACAGCTACCAACCACCCACCCACTAGGCAACACACTTACCACCCAGTAGCCACCCGGCATCATACCAACCAATCCTCGCCAGAGGCGACAGCTTCCAGACACTTCACCGAATGCCGGCGCCAGCATCAGACGGAAAATAGAGGGGCAGACAATTCAGTGGGAAAAAGAGGGGCGGTGGAAAAGGGGGAGGGGGAAGCGGATAGGGGGTAGGTAGTCCTGGTGACTGGTTACTGAACGCCGGAGGGCAGCGAACGTGGCGTATGCTTGATATTTGAGTAGGGATTCGAGAGCAAGTTGCAACTGATTTGGCAGACTGTCAAAATATTAAAAACTCAACTCTAATTGTTGACAAGGGTGGCAACTCAGGGACAAAAAAAAAAAAACTATCCCGCTTAAAGTCTCTCCATTTAAAGCTTTCCTTTCCCTTCACTTTTTACTGCCGTTTGGGGCCACCCTAATTCTCCCATCTGCACCATTTGTTGTTATTATTAATTTTATGCGCCATATAAACGGTGGAAGGACCCTAAAAAGTCAGCAGCGTCAAGTAAACAAAAGCCTCCAATGTCGCTCCATTGACTACAACAACAATGGGGCAACAACAAACAGCTCGGAATATAAAAAAAAATGGCCACTGTGTGGGAAATACATATTAAGAAAGCGGACAGGCGACAAAAGGAACGCTTTTCAAAAGTGGCAAAAGTGGGAAAGTGGGAAAAGTGGAGAAAAGATACGAAAATAACCGTAATATTAAACATAAAATCGGGCAACATAAAATCTGGAATTTAATTATCATTTTGGAGTCTTGAAAGTACTTGGCAATTTTTACAGGAACGGAAAGACGTTTTAGTTCTTTGGATGAAAAATGGGAAAGAACAAAAACTAAGGAGGGTTTGATCTTTCTTGTCAGCTAAATATTTAGTAAAATTTAAAAATAAAATGATTTGGGTATAAACTTGAAGAAAAATGCATGCCTCTAAAAATGTAGTTTTTTGTTATTTTGAAAAAAAAAATTAATTTTTATACATTGAATATTTTTCATACAGGCTTTACAGGAAATTAAATTGTATGAATTTTACTTTTTTTAAATAAGCCAAGTTCATTGAACCAAAACATGAAGAATATCTTATCTGGGCTTTAATAAGAGTACGAATATATTTATTTAAGAAATCAGCATAGCTTTCGTGCTAGTATACTGCCTCTCTGCCTCGTCTTTTAGTAATTTTCCATTTGAACAGTCAGTGCAGTATTAAAGATACATTTTAGCCGACATTTTAGTCGGCTGCCAACTATTCCACATGTGCCTTAATGTGTGTGTGGTTCTGTGGTCCAGGCCATTGTCATTGCCATTGACTTGGTCCTGTTCTTATTCGTGGTCTTGGGTCCTGGCTGCTGTTTTCTGGCTGCTGGAACTTGGAAGCTGTGTCCTGGGTACTGGGTACTGGGTTCTGGGTCCTGGCCGACGTCATATTGTGTTTGGCAAATCGTTTGCGATAAAGCCAACTACATAATGTCTCTGTAGGCCAGGGAAAGCCGGAGCCGGGAAATTCGGGGTCGGGAGACATAAAAATGCTAAACCAGCGCTATGTTGGCGTCGCAGCGACGCACACACAAATACCAATTTCCCACCCCTGACCCCTGACCCCTGACCCCGGACCCCATCGCTTGCCCCGCTCATATGTGGGCCTCGGGATAATGCGCGTTATCCTTGATTGCCTGCCTCGATATTGGGCCACGGGCTACGACTCAAGCCCAAGGATATGGCAAATGGGCAAATGGGTGAATGGGCCAATGGGCGGGCGGCAAACAAGCCGCTTAAACTTGCCTCTCGGCTCGCCATTCTCTGGCAAACTTTGATGCTCTTTTCGGCCAGAAAGGGGTAACACGACTGCCAGACGAAGCTGGAGTCCTAATCTCCAGCAAAGTTTATAAACAGCCGGGAAGTTCTCTTTCAAAAGTTGTACCATGCATAGTTTTATATATTAAATCTAAATTAATGTTGATTTTATGCAGCTTTTATGGGGTTTCTTGCGGAAAAATATGCACTTTCAAATCGTCTTGCTTAAAGATAATATGTGTGTTATTTTCACACTTAAAAAGGTTGTACTATGAGTCTGCCTTTATTTGAGTCTAAATTTAAGTTGAACTTAACCAATTTTATTTGCGTTTTCTTATTCTCATAAAACTAAAACTTTCAATATGGCATGATTTGTATTTTAAAACTACAGTAGCTCCCACTAAATTTCTTTTCATAAAAGAGTATTCTATAGTTCTGCTTGTCGGATTACTCGAACCCTGATTGTTTCACTTTTCTGTGTCTTTGCCGCTGAGCCCATCGTGATTTGGGTCTTTTTTTTGGGCTGTGGCCTTCTTCCTTTAGCCGCTGATTCCTTCCGATTCCTTCTGGCTTCTTGCCTTTGTATTTTATGCTCATCATCATTCGCCGGAGCGTAGAAATCGCAACAGAATCAGATTTTTGCCTCTTTCTCGGCGGCTAATTGGTGCCCAAATGCCGCCCGTCGAATAATTCTCCCCCCATTCCGAATGGCCAAAATGGGAATGTGAAAAGTGAATGGGGAAGGGGGATTGGGTGTGGATGTGGATGTGGGGGTGGTGATTCAGAACGGGGGCGGGGCGAGGTCGTCCAGGGGCAACTAGCTAAACAACAATTTTAATTGCGACCAGGCAGAGTCAACGTCTGGGACTCCGGCCAAAGGCAAATGAGCGAGCGCTCCAAGAAATATGAACGAGGTCAATGATTGTTTACACTACCCTCGAATGCTGTTTACTTCGAGCTGGCGACACAAGGGGGAGGGGGGGGGGAGTGGTAGTTGGGGAGGTGGGGTGGTGGGACAGAGGGTGGTGCAGGTGCAGGTGGTGCGGTAGTGCGGCGGTGGTGGCACGGTGGGTTTCGTCGGTGTAGTCACCGTAGACACCTTGGAGGCAAAACGAATGCCTCTGGCGAACAGCGATAGCATGAAAAATGGGAAAATTCAGTAATTAGGAAAATGCGAAAACGTAATTATTTATCTTATCTTTATTTGTTTGCAGGTAAAAGAATAATATTTATTTGAGTTTGGGGAAAACAAACAATCGATCAACACAATGCTAATAAGTAATAAAGAATTAGGTTATTCCCCTATTCCATGACTGAATTTCCTTTATTTGGAATAATTCTCATTTGCTAATTGCTGTTTGATGCTAACAATAGTTGCAAAAAGAAAACTAATCAATAATAAAAACTTAAAAGTCTAACCATTGGTTAAGTTTTAAAGCAACTGTGAAAATGAATTTTATTGGTATTTGCATGCATGTAAACAAATAAATTATTTTTGAGCCTCTTTTACTTCGAATACCCCTTAAATATCAAATCTTTCTAAACATTAGCCACAATTCTCTGTAGTTCTTCCAGTTGTATAACTTAAAAAAAAAACAAAAGTAGTTTATTTAACAAACTAACAAAAGATTAAACTAGCACATATTCCTAGCATTTTCCCCAAAAAAAACTAGTGTTTATTCCACTGTATTACCCACTAGGCCTCAGGGCTTTCAATGTGTGTGTGTGTGTGTGTTTATGGTGTGTAGCGTGAGTTTGTCTGGGGCACACGTTTAAAGTGCGAAACAGAGGCAGATACAAAAAAAACACACAAAAAGAGTACGCGGCACAAACACTTGCCTTTGCAACTATGAATTCCTTAGTTGTTTCCCAGCTGAAGTAAACATTTTAAAGTGAGAATGTAAACTTAACAAAGGAAACGAGAAGAAAGTTATTCCAAGAAGCCAACATCAAAAAACATAAAGCTCGAAAAATAGTTGAAATTAATTGAAACAAAGAGGTAGAAACAGTTTCCAGAATCAGTCAAAACTTTTCCACATTTTACTCACCTATCTTTTACAGACAAATATTGAAATCTTTTTAAATTGATATTACGTTTTTTGAATAATTAAAACCATGCAGTTTAAGCAGATTCCAAAATATTCCAAATATTCAACTCTATATAAGTATAAATTATATATTTTTTTTTAATTTAAAACACAGTAGTCGTAACAGTTTCCACAATCGATCAAAACTTTTCCATCTTTCAATTAGGTTACACCAGTAGGTTACACCGACCAACAAATATACAATTCCACATAATATATTATATATCTTTTTCAAATTTGACCAATTAAACATGCCGGGACAACTGGAGAACTATTGTTCCACGGAGCTGCTGCACGATCTCTACGAATCCTGGCTGATCCTGTTTGCCGCCATCTTCTTGCGGTACAATCAGTGCCGCCTATTGTCCTTCGATCCCGCCTCACCTCTGGATCCCTTGTACGCCGCTCCCGTGGACGACAATCAGCGCTGGTCGGACGTCTTCTTGGCCAGCGGCATTGTGTTGGCCATCCTGGAGTATCGGCCACTTTGGGTTCGCCGCTGTCGTCATCGCATCCGCCTACTGATGCTCCTGGCTGAGATTGTGCTGGTGCTCCAACTGACCGAGTGGATGGATCGCCAGGTGTGGCAGCCCTTCCTCTGCATCGTTCGCGATCTCTTTGCTGCCATGGGACGTGCTGAGTGGGCATCCTGGATGCACCACTATCTGCCGGCTGTTTGTCAATTTTTTGCCAGCGGCCACGCCTTCAAAGCCTTCCGCCTCCTTTCATCCTTTGCCGTCTGCTGCAGCACTTTTCATTCATCGGTGGAGAACTGGCGGCACTCGATGGACTTCCTGATCCTTGGTTGTGTGCCAAGATCCCCGCTGAGGAACCAGCTCATCCACGAGGCCAATCAGCGGTGGAACACCAAGAGGAAAAGGAACGGACAGCCGCCGACTCCCTCGCCCGAGACGCTCATCTACAGGCGACTGTGCTCAGTATGTCGGAGGGATAGAAGGTGCTTTCCCCGAAGTGCCCAAGGATTATAGATCCCGGATTCGAAAACCCCGACCGACCACGCTCCAACCACGAAAAAGAAATTATTGGAAAGAACGCCAAAGACTACACGATTTCTTCAAAGGATTTTCCAGGGAAAAGAATAGAATAGAATAGTATCATTTGCATAGTCCATAGACAGCTGCAGGTTTTTCTTTGATTGTGATAGGCCAAATTGATTGCCAAATGATCGTAATTACTTGTGATACTTTTATACCTCAAAATATTAATAAAACTTGTCTTAACCCGTTCAAAAAATATATTATTTTGGTGTCTTTCAAATATGTTCCCTAGAAATATTAATAAGTGAACACATTTTACTTAAAAGACGTTCACTTTTGGTAACCATTACCAGTCAACACCAGACACTTCAATTCATTTACTATATATAAATTTAGGTATAAACTAGGCTTAGAAAAAAGAAATTAATAGATATTTTTTATTTATAACCTTTTAAAGATTTTTTTGTACCTGGTCATCAAGGAACCAAAACTTGTCAACTCAACACTAATAATAAGATTAAGCGGATTTTGAAAACATATCATCATTATTTAAAGTATTTAGTTTTATTGTGGTATTTTTAATATTTCTTAAATTACTTCGAGTGTCTTGTTAACCATATTCAACATATTTCTCACACCGCAGGTAAACAGAACACCTAACAGGTTACATATTTGGCAACCACAATTCGTCAACGGCAGACCTTCGAGTGGATTTTGCGAATGAATGATGATGGAGGGGCTAAGCAGACTGCTTATGTTTGCCTCGCTAACCCCAAGCTATGACATATCGCTTTCAAGAACCACTCGTTGTCATAAACAATCGACGACGAGGGGCAATGGAATGCCGCACAAAGTCATTGATCTAGGGCCTCAAACTGTCGCGGAAAACCGCAGAGCTGGCGCCCAAAGATAACACCAACCGCACGAGGACCGCAAATCGCATGGAAGTACCAATATCTAAACACCCCCTTCCTACCCCCTTTCCCAACCCCCTTTGACCAACCGGGAATCTGCCTAATTATCGGGTCGGCGGGATATCGGGGCATTTGGCAATGATGTTTATCCGGGGGACACGCTATCCACATACCTGGCACTCATTTGTGTGGTCATCGAACGCTGCGGTGGGTCCTCGGTTATCCCGTGTTTGCGCTGACAGTAATCGACTGATTAAGCGTAATTATAAATGTAATTTCCACTCGAACAGCTAGCGGAAACCAAAAGGCAGCAAACCAAATTCAAACTCAAACTCAAACCGAAAAAACGAAACAGTGACGAGCGACAAAGGCTTTTTTGTCTTTGGCTTAAAAAACAAATTGCAAAAACCGTTTAACGCATTAACACACTTAATTTGTATTCACTGGTTGTTTGTTTGGTTTTCTTTCTTTGGGTGAGGGAAGTGGGCGGTAAAAGGAAAGTGGGTGGTAAAAGGGGTTGGCTGAGGAAGTGATTTAAAATATGCACAGCGCACGCGAGCGGCCCAAAAAAATTTGGGGGAACAAAAAAAAAGAAAAAAAGAGTCAAATTAGAGAAAACAGGAAAAACAATGAGGAAACCGAAAATCGAGTCGCGAACATGCAACTTGTGCGAATGGCAATCGAATGCCAGCAGCCGCGCAAATCGCCTGGGCCTCAGTCGCCGTCGCAGTCGCGGTCGCAGTCGACGTTAGCAGCGCAGTCAGCGTCGGCAGGGCAATTGAGCAATTGAAGAATTTACTTTGCATTTCTTGCAGGTGCCGCCGTTTTTTTTGCTTCAATGGCTCGTCGGTGACTAATTATTTGTCGGTGGTCTCAGCCCGGCTCTTCCTCTTGGCCTCTGCCTAAATATAGTAAATAATAAAAATTCTGGCGAATAACAAAAGGCAGGCTGGCGGGCAAATAAACAATAAAACGCCAGCCGCAGATATACAGATACGGATACGTTCGGCAGGCAAATCAAACGAACCGTTTATTGGGCTGCTCCTATATGTATTTCGCTTGGATGGATGGATGGATGGATGGATGGATAGATCCATCGCCTCGACGAACTTCGCAGACGCTACTAAAACCAAAATCAAAAAAAACTACTCTTTGATATATCAACAAATTTTGAATTTAAATTTTCAATTAATTGGTATGTCTTTAATGTGCCTTGCAATCTGTCTATAAACTTTGGGTGCTAATTTGTTGATCTATTAAAAAACATTCTTTTAACAGGTACTGATAAATCAAAACAATTTAAGAAAATAATTTACTTAATGTAGTGAAGATGCAATATGAAGTGCGATTCTCAATTATGACTAATTAAACGAGACAGATATTATCCATTGCCCCTCCTCCACAGAAACGATATCAATTTGTTAAGCTTTTTATTGCCTCGGGTAATCTTCTCGCTTCTGGGAACTAGAAAAGTCTTTAAGATATTTTCGGATTCAAACGGTAGAACTTAAATAATTCTATTTATATTTTCGCTGCTTAGATTCGACCATGTATATTTTAAATATTATAACTAAACATTTTGAATACTTACTAATTCCGATATATCTTTGCTTTCATAGTGTATGGGGCTTGCCTACAAAGTATTTAAATTCAAATTCCTGCCAGTATTAAATACATTTAGGAATAATCTATAATTAAATGCAGTGTTTTTTCCGCCTCAATGCTCGAATGAATCACAAGTTCGAAAGTATGTTGATTGTTTTTGTTTTTTGTTGGTAACTACACCGCCTAAGATCTGTTTGGAATCGATTAGTTCAAGTACTTTCCAATCTGCCGATCATTGATGACGATCGAATTGTGATCACTTGACGGACAGCCAGTTCGGCGTTTCCATTTCCAGTTCAACATCCACATCCCATTCCAATTTGCAGCTCTCCATCAGCGAACGCGCGAAGAATAAATTCGCAATTGCGTACAAAAGAGGGGAATTTAATGGGCGCGCACCTTCGAGGGGGGTTAGAAAAAATAGGGGGTATGGGGTGTTAAGGGGGGTTGGTGGGCGGTACTGCGTCACCGACGTCGACTGCGGCAGCAACGCTCGGCGGCTTACTCACTCACTCTTTCCCGCGATGCCGAAAAGCATCGAAAAGCATCGAATTCGAATCCGAAACGGGCCAATTATAATTACTGTTTATTTATTCTAGTTGTGTAGGTCAGGGGCGGCGATTCGAGCGGGGAAAAGGGGGTGTTGCACAATGTAAGGATTTTTAATTCGAACATTTTCTCACTTGCGAATGCCATTGTTTTCGCATTTGTTTCGTAGCGGATTGTATAGATACATTCGGAAACAGATACAGATACATTTACAGACTTCGAATCGAATGCAGCTGCAGATACAGAATCTATTTTGGGTTTTAATCTGGCAGCCTTTTATTATAAATAGTTGGGCTGCCTAGATAAACACGCCGCTGCTGTCGACGCCTCTGCCGCTGGCTCTGCTGCCGTCTCTGCTGCCGCCGCTGCCGCAGTCGACGCAACCGCGGGCTAAACTCATTACTAATTCACGTCCAATTTCCAACGCCCGCGGCACGCACAAAAACCGCAAAAGGTAATCAAAAATGCGCACCCCCGGTACAAAAAACATGAAAACGAAAATGAAAATGAAAATTATCAAATGTCATCACTTGCGGCAAAGGCCTTTGCCACGAGAATTATTAAAAATTAATAGCTTGCCTCGGATATGCAACGAGTTTAGCAAGGTGAGTCTAAATGGATTTTTCCTATTTGGTAGCTTTCCACTCAAAAAGGTTCCATGGAACCTTTTTTTTTTTTTTTTTTTTTTTTGCCAATTTTCAATGGCATTTCGGTGAGTAATTCCATCATCAATCTGCCGGACACTCAAAACAAACACACACTAACTACAGTGACATGTAAGTACATCAATTAGTTTTAAGTACGACATCAATCCGGCAAATAAAGTTGACCTAACTTGCTACACACTGTTAACATGTCAGTCTGACCAACTAGACACTTGAAGTTTGCTCTGTGCAAACATTATACATTTATGTGCTAACGTTGCGTATACGTAACGTAACGTTTAAACGTTTATGCGTTTGGGGGAAAATCCATGTAATCGCCTTGTAGCTGTCTTCGTTGATTGCGCATACGCCACGTGTGACTGGCCATAGCAGTTAATGGCCATTAAACAAAGCGCTCGCCAGCTCACTAGCAAAGCCAAACGCCAGAGAACTTGGCCATTAAGAGCTCGACAATTAAGTTGAAACTTTCCATGTACTTAGAGGGATCCACCGATGGGGAGCACTTTCCGGAGCAGCTGGGTAAAATCCCAGGAGTCGAGGGCTACTTACCTCAATCAAAATAATTATTTAAATGGCCCTTGCCACCTTTGGCTGTTCCCATTTAATATTTAATTGAACAATAAAGACACACAGACTAGAGCGTGCTCGCTTTAAAATTTTTATTTGAAGTAAGTAATATTTTCTGACAGTAACAAGATAAATTTTCCATTCCCCCTTAGGCGATTACTTAAAAAAAATAATTAAGTATTTTTCCTTGGTAAAAGAATTTGATTTTCATTTGTATGTTCTATAAAGTTTTCCATTTTTTTGTTTCTTATAAGTTTTGCATGTGTGTGTTGTTTACACAATAATCGTAATCGTAATCGTAATCGCAATCGTCGACGTTGCCATATATAATCATAATAATAACAATCGGAATAATCGGAATAATAATGATGATAAATAACGGTAAATAGAGTAGTACAAAGGAGATAACAAATGAACCGAAAGTCGAGTCAAGGTAAAATGGGAGAAAAAAATTTGTTTGTATCTTTTTTAGCATTTGTTGTTTTTTTTCTGTTTGTAAAATATACGCACTTTGCTTTAATTGTTGTTTTCGTTATATTTTTTTGGTTTTCGGTTTTCGTTTTTGTTTTTTGTTTTTCCCTTTGAATTCTTCTTGACTTTATACATTTCGTTTCGTTCTTAGCAAGGAAATCAGATTCAAGTTTGCTAAAGAATATCACTAAAAATGTTATTAATTTCCTTTCGCTATCATCTGGATTTTTACGTTTATTTTCGCATTATCAGACATTTCGCATTTGGATATCTGTTTCTGCTTCTGTTTCTGCCATGCAATATTTTATTATTATTATTTCTATTTTGCCGGTCGACTCGTTATTGCTGAGTGTGTATATAAGTTATGTATATATTTTTATTATCGTATATTTATTTATATATATATATATTTACCCATATATATATATATGTATATATATGTATATAATGCATGTATAAGTATGTAAAATATTGCTTGTGAAACGTTTAACTTGACATTCGTGTGGTTTGTCAACGGCGGTGGAAAGAAACTCATCTTCGACTTCCATCGGTCGTGTGCTGCTTTTTCCGGAAAAAAGCCCTACTCACCGGCCCATTGTAAATTAATATAAATATTCAATAATTTTCGTATTCGTTTTGTCGGCTATTACAATTGACTTGATTCGTTTCAAACCCATCCAATTCAATCCACAAAAAAAATTCCTTGCTCTAACTTACTGTTTGTTTTTCTTTTTTTTCGTTTTTTGTCAATTTTTCGTATTATATTTTTTTTGTTTTCGATTTTGTTACTTAAGACCCGTTATGTTTTGGTGTTAACAAACTTATTCGGTACTCCTCTTTGTCAGTGTTTAAGTGGGTATGCGTGTGTGTGTGAATGTGTGTGTGAGGGCGTGGTGTGTGTTGTGGTGGTGTGCGTGATTCATTTAGTGTTATTTACAGTTTGATTTGCTTATTTCCGCGTCTCCTTACAAAAAAAAAGTCAACGTGAAAATTGCGTTGCGTTTTCCCCGTCGCCTCCAATTTTCCTCTGTCATAATAATAGTTTAGTTAATATTATTTATAAATTGTTTTTTTTTTTTTGTTTCGTTTTCTCAATTTCTTTTAACTACTAGACTACAGACACATTTGTTTTGTCAGCTATATCACTTTCGAATTATTTAATTATTGATTAAGTTTTCGCATTACGTTTATTGTTAATATACTCGTACAAGTGTGTATAGGTGTGAGCGTGTCAGTATGCGTATGTGTGTGTGTGAGTGTTATATATTTCAGTTTTTCTTTTTTCTTCGAAGAATTTCAGTGAGGTTTATAGAAGCGTTTTTGTATTCGTTTTGTTTTTGTTTTTTGGTTTCGTTATAGTTCCTTAACTTTCTTTCGATTGCAGTGCTTACTATATAGGGTATATATAAGTTTAGGCATATATATATACACATACATGTGGCTATATGTGTGCGTGTGTGTGTGTCTGTGTTAATTTTTTGGTTGTGTTGTGGTGGCATGGCATTATTCTTAAAATTTGATCGTGTTTATTCTTTTAGATCGGTGCTTAAAGACACGGAAAGCATAGGAAAAGATAAAAGTAAATCGGTCAATTGGGAATGTTCTTATAGAAGGCAAAGCAGGCAAAATAATAAGAATTACTACTACATAGGCACTAATTAGATATACAGTATGGGTGTTTTTTCGGGTGAGTGTTTGTGTTTTTTTTTTCTTTTTTTTTAAGGGGAGCCAAAGATCTCCCTCATTTGGATTTTACAAAGGACATTGAACGGGGGGAGAACGTGAGAAAGCGTGGGGTTCGTATTTATAGATAGTCATCGGAATAGTAAAACGGTTGACTGGTTTATTGAAAAATCAATGCAATAATAAAGCTGAACCGCATATAGAATAGAAATTAAATCGTATGATGGATTTGTTTCATTGTTATATATCCTAACTGCTCCTCCAACTTCGTTGTTGTTCAGCTGCTTCAGCTGCTGCTTCTCGAGGATATACACTTGTGTTGTCTATATATATATAAATATATATATATATACTTGTCTGTATATATTTATAGATGTTCATGTTCTGGCTGTTGATGTGGCTCTGGTTGTAGCTGTGCGTTCTTTGATTAGTTTATCATTTATTAATGGCTTAATTTCGCAGCTATTTCTGGGCTCTCTGTCCAGGACATTTGGATTCGGATTTCTATTTGGATTTGGACCGCCTCCTGCTCATCCTTTTCCGACTATTGTCAATATGTTCGTGTTGTTCTTGTTGTCTATTGTAAATGGTTTTTGGTTTGGTTTGGTTTGGTTTTGGTTTGGTTATTGTTGTTGGGAACGTATAACGCTTAACGGAAAACAAGGCAAAGCAGGAATTACTGATAGAGAGAGAGGGAAAGAGATACAGATAGAGGTAGAGAAAGAGAGAGAGAGAGAGAGAGAGCAAACGAAAGCAAACACTTTTTCTGCGCCTTTTGGTTATGCAACACTCTTTTTCAAACGCTTTTTTGATTCTGGTTAAAAACCCCCATCTGCAGTTTTGATCTCCTTTCGAAGGGAGCTGGTCAATAATATTGATCAAGGAGGCGTTTCGTGATTGCCAATCTAAAGAAGATTTTAAAAACCTGAAAATCATCTGTTGTAAGGGGATTATCTTGTCTTTAAACTTTTGTAGAAATCTTGGTTTGTCGGAAGAGTCTTTTTCTACTTGTGTTGAATATCGAAAATATAAGTCAATATATATTGAAATGTTATTAAAATATTCTTAACATTCAGTAAGTATTTTATTCTGTTGAGTAAGTATAATTTTCATTAAATTAAATGTTTAAATTAATACTTCACTTGAATTTGATTAATATGAAATAAACTGTATACTTACGAGATTTCAAGCTAGCAAAATAAAAATTAAGAAATAAATCTGAAAAATATTACATGACTTTTTGCCATTTTCTCATAAAAAGAGAATAAGTATTTGAATCGTATTGTCCAAAATCAAAAGGAATCAGACAGTTTATTGACCCCTTTTTTGGCCATCTCCCCTCTCCTGATCGACCCCCCTCTAAACTCTGAACTCTGAACTCTGAACTTTGAACTGTGCTGTCCTGTCTCCTGCCACTTCTCAGATTCATACATGTATCTATATGTATATATATATATATTAGGTGTGGATATAGTGGCTGCTGTTGGCTGTCGTGAGTGAAGTTAGCTGACTTGGATCGAGTCTATATAACTCGCTTTATCGTTAGCTTTTGCTTTAAAGGCTGCGCAATTGATTCGTAGGCTTAGTTCGGCTCTAATTGTATCGTTTAATTGTATAGTATAATTATGCTGATTTACTCGTAGGTTTAATTAGTTTACTCGTAATTGGTGTATGCTTCAAAAATTGATTTGCGCCTCACGTCTTTCGATTTAATTTAAAATTAGTGTTAGTTTATTCATTTGTTTGCCATTTGGTTTTTGTTTTGTTTTGTTTTTTTTTTTTCCATTATTGCTATGAACTGCGCTCTGACTACGCCATGATTTCCTATATATTTATATTCTGGTGTATATTTTTTAAAATTAATTTTATTTTCATGTTCGTTTTCGACTCGTTTAATTGTATTTTTTTTTTGTTTTCCATCTCGTTTAGTTATACTTTATGCATATATCAAAAAATTATTATCATCTTCAGTGTCGCAAGCGACGCGCGGAGAATCGAGAATCGGGAGAATTGAGAAAAGCGTAGAGAGAAGAGAAGGTGAAGAGTGAGAAAGCGAATGCAAAACGAAGGGGAGGGGGCGTGGCACCGTACCGGCCTCCCCTCCCCAATAAAATTTTTGGTTTCTTTAGCTTTTCGATTTGGTTTTTTCGTTTTTTTTAGCGGGTTTCGATCAAAGTATTCAGTATCGGTTTTTATTTTCTTCGGTTTATTGCGCGCTTGGTTTTTTGTGGAATTGGATTTGGGTCGGCCATTGTTAATCGATTTAACCACCACCTAAACTTAACGCCTGAACTATACGTGGATCAGCTTTACTACCCTCACGAAATTCTTCTAATGTTAATTTGCCATCGTGGTTTTTGTCCATCTGATCGAAGATCTTGTCCACTCGTTTCTGCGGCGTGTTCTCGTCCTCCGACTGCGGTTGCTGGCCCTGTTTTTTTTTTTTTTGGGTTGAGTTAAGAAGGATATTGGTTAGACTCTTACAAAAGTTAGTGTTTATTATTCGTTTGAGTTGATATTAAAAGAGTTTTAAACTTTTTAGAGGGTCACAGTATGATTGTAGAGGAACTTTGTTTTCCATTTTATACTGTTTTATTATTTTTTCTAGAGATATTTACTGGCCCTGTTTTGTAGGATCGTAAAAAATAAATGTTTAGTTTTACCAGCACAAATATTTATAGTAATTGTTAAAAAAGTAAAACATTTCCCACAGGGAAACGAAATATTTGCCTAAATAGGCATGCAAAATCGTTGAATGTATTTTTTAAAGATTTTTTTTTTGGACTGTTGCTAAACAAATGTAAGGTATTTTTTTGATTGTATTTTTTCATTTACAATTTCTGACTATTTTTTATGTGAAGGGTCAAGAGAAATAATTGAATGCAAATATTTGTTTATTTTTTATGCAACTATATTTGCAAAGGTAAAATTTTAGAAAGGTTTTTAGGTTTAGGGTAAAGCACTTACCACCATCTGGTAGATTGCATCCACGATGTTGTACATCTCCTCACGCGTTATGTAGCCGTCGTTGTCCACGTCGTATAGACGGAAGGCCCCTGTGGTTGGGCCATAAAAATGTTATCAAAATCATAATAAAAAAATACCCATCGATTGTTGTTTTTTTTTTTAAGGAATAGATAATTGAAAAACATGGCACCACTTACACTGCAGTTTTTCATCCAGGTTGCCCTTCGATGTGACGGATAAGGCGCGTATGAACTCCTCAAACTCGATGGAGCCATCCTGGAGACCCATAAAAAACAGAAAAAGAGAGAGAGAGAGAGAGAGGAAGAAGGAGAGAGAAGAGAGCAGGCACACAAACAGAAGTTGAGACGCACACACACATAGACACACGCACACAGAGAAAGACAAAGAAAGCAAATCAGTGCAGACATCAGACAGTTGACACTCTGTGGTTTGGGGGGATAAAAAAAGGGGGCGGGGCCACGCCCATGGGCCATAAATAATAAAAGCGAAGAGCAACAAAAGCGCCCAAAAATTTATGATCGCCCATTCCATAAACGGGTAACAGCGGTGAGAGCAGGACATTAACCTGCTAAAATCAGTTTATTTTGCGGCTGCTTCGAGTTTTTGGCCAACGTCAGCACGCTCAAAAGAAAATTAAACTCACTCTTGGGCAAAAAGAAAGAAAGAATGGAAAACCACGAAGTTTATGTATATGAACCCAACTAAAATGTTCCATTCATTCTGTTTTCTTTGAGAAAATCAAGACACACAGCTGTTTATTAAATAACTATAAATAAAGTAAACATATTGAAGTGAGCAAAAATATACTTTCTGAATAGTTTTGTTTGATATAATAATAGAACGAAATGAGTGAGTAAACTATGTAAATAATCGAGTCTTTAGGTAACGTCAGCAGACTCAGAAAAAAACTGAAATCCCTTTTCTGCAGAAAGAAAGAAAGAATGGAAAATAACAGATTCGAATTTACACTTGCTAAATATGAAAACTGCAAACTAAAGCGCTTGAATAAAAAAATAAAAACAAGCACATATTAAAAAAAAAACAGGTAAAAATTAAGTGAATAAAAATATATTTTTTGGATAAGTTTATACCCTACAAAATATTCATAAAAATATCAAATGTCTTGTTGAATTCTAGTTCTTATTGCACTTAAATGGACTTGTTTTAAATGGGCGTGGCCAGCCCCCTATTTCGAGGAGGATAGTTTACAGATACAGGGGCATACTCACATTATTCTCATCGAAGACGCGAAAGACGAGCGATGCGAATTTGCTAGGATCTCCTTGCGGAAAGAATTGTTTGTAGATTTTGATGAAGCCCTGCAGAAAGCGGTAATAAATAGAGAGAGAGAGAAAAAGAGTTGGGGCGGAAGACAAATGCAGATGAATCAATTAGAGGCGTGGCACATATGTCGAGTTGAGTTGAGTTCGTGTTTGAATAATGCGCGCATTAATAAACTTCATTATCAACAAACAGCCGACGACGACAGCAGCAACATCAACAAAAACATTCACAAAGGCGATGTCATTAGCAGTCGGGGTCGTCAACACATTTGGCCACCCTCCTAACCTTCAAATGGCCCCCTTATTTACCCTCTCCCCCTTCCCCCTCCCCCCTCGTGTCTTTCCCCTCCATTTGTATTGTTTGGGGGATCCTGAGGGTTTAGCCCCCCTTCTATCTGATGTGGCTGCTGTCGTGGAATTAGCCAACATAAATCGAGAGGGCGAATCGAGGGTTGGGTGCAAGGCGGAAAATTAACTTAATTAACCGTTTGACTTAAATGAATTGGCCACGCTCAGGTGGAGCCCACCACACATGCACTTTAAGGCTCAAGGTGAGATATATATTTTGGGCATATTGAAGGCCGATACTTACTTGCTCTGTGAGCAGACCATTCGGGCAGTCTTTCAGGAATCCTTTGTGCCTGTTCAATTGTTGCCAAAAACAAGAAGCATAGATTATAGATACATATTCGGTTAATTCTCGGGCTTTAGATAGCAATCACCTGCTGGCTTTTTTCGCCAGCCAACTCACCATTGACGTATTTCTTTCTCTGTGACTGCAAATGAAAACAAACAGAAAATCAAAGTGGATTAAATTTTTATGCGGTATTTGAAATATTTACAAGGTGCGAGTGGATTATTTTTGGGGGTGGTCTGCGCGAATATGGTAAAGTGTTCAATTGTGCAAACAAATTCATGTGGGCCGAGCTGGCTTTTTTAAATTGGTACAGTGCGTTTAAAAGCTGTCAGCCAGCCAACTGACAATAACAATGGTCGATTTGCCATTTGTTTATTTACACAAGAACTGCCATTAAATCCAAAGGGTAGCAACGAGCTAATTGAAGGTTGTAGGGCAAATAAAAAAAATAAAAAATAGTCATTTAAATCCAAATTAACGTAATGAAAGGTTGGCATTCACTTGGGAAATTGTCTTGTTTAGAATAACTATTATTTTAGGGGATATAGATAGTGCTTTTTTATATTATAAACCTATTTTAAGGTATTTGATTTTAAGCTCGTTAAAATAAAATATATTTGTAGAGCTATGCAATAAATCCCAACCATTGGTTATTAAAGAAAATTCGATTAATGAATTGATCAATGAGAAGGGATAAGAAGCGATTTATCGTTCTCATTATATATTGCATTAGCTCGAGGGTTCGGAAACAATACAGTTGGCACTGTTGGCTTCTAAATCAATTTGCTCTCTGCCGCACAACTAATGAAATCATCGATGCTAAATTATTCATTCATTATTGATTGCCATTCGAATTGGGGTTTTTGAGGAGGGGGGTAAGGTATAAAAGGGGGCTCAAGGGGGGACGGTTGAATTCCCGGAATGACCTCTTCATTATCCATTTCTATTTACTCCCGCACTCCGCTTACTCATATGCAAATGTTGAACTCATTCGGTTCCAGTCCTGAATTATCTTTCATTGTCTTTCGACCACGCCCTGGGCTTCATCTGGACCTCCACCGCCCCCCTTTTCCCCTCCCCCTCTTCCTCTTCTTCCCTCCTTCTCCCCTCCGAATTCCCCACCATTCGTGCATAACAATTTTCTTTGTTTTGCTGGCATAAAATGTTCTGCTTTCTTTCTTCTCCCTTTTTTTTCATTTTGTTTGGTCATTGCCGTTGGCCTAATGGCCGTTTACCAAACGTTTAAACGCTGCTCCCCCTCGGGACTGCCACGCCCCTACGGCCCCTGGTTATTTCCAACCTGGCCATTGGGCCCATATCCTGATCGGTGGTCCTTCGCTGACTCCTGGCCGTGTGAATGGCGCACATGTTCTCCTCCACCAGGAGCAACCAAAGAAACAAGCAGAGAAAAAAAAATGAAAACATAAATTCACGCAAAATTACACACATTGGAATTGCTTTTGAGGGGGTGCTGCGTGGTCAATGGCCGGCAATTTGGGTGGTAAATGAAGGGGAGGGGAGGGGGTGGGAAGGGAGGGGTAGTAACACCCCCAAAGGGAGCTGGAGAATTGGAACCGCAGCTGGAGACGGGCTATTGACTCGATGGCTGCCAGTTATCTGCAGCGGCCACTCGCATTATTCATGCCGCTGTGGTTCATATATCATCTGCGCACCCCAACCCAACAAACCGAAGAAAATACACTGGAATAACTTTGGCAATTCCAGTAATTTATAAGCCAACAGATTGCACATTGATGATAGGCAAAATCAATTGGAAAAACAACGAAAAACAATTCATTGCATACTTTTCGACAGGTCTCAAGAATATAATTTTTAAATTGTAAATTTTATTTAAGTTGAAAGATGATATCATAAATTTACTATAAATATTATTCTTCCAAAAAGATATTTAAAAGATATCACATTAATCAAATCGTTAACTAAATTATTTAAATTTTACATTTATTGTCAGATGCTGAAATGTGCTAAAAATATAATAAGTCCAGGAAGATATTTAAAATATATTATGTGTAACATATATATTCAAACATATCCATAAAATATTTCGTAATATTCTGAAAATCCATTTTGGTGCTAATGTTTTCTTTTTACTTTTAATTAACTTTATTATTTATGAACACCTATATTCATAAATTTTATATTTTTTCCTTCACTTGTAAGTGTATCTCCCACCAACTTTGTTCCATCTTTTCCCCTGCTCCTCCATTGGTTTGGCTATCATTTTTCATTTTGATTAGCTGACTGGCAAAGGAATCGCAGCAGCATTTGCATTTTAATTAGCCGCAGAAAGAAGAGCGCTTCGTAGGTTTATCCTCCCCTTCGAATTTATCCCCGCCCCCACCTCCCACTCCCACGCCCCCTCCCCATTTCCCTTTTGAGATCCATTATTTGTTGTCCTTATCCCGCGGGGGAATGTCAATCCAATGAAGTCAACAATTGGCACAGCCAGCGGAGCCAGGAGCAGAATTGATTGGTAATCGATAGCCTGGCTAACAGACAGACTGACTGACTGACTGACGGACTGACGGACTGACGGACAGGCGGACGGACGCACCACCCACTTTTTGTTGTATTATTGACGTGTGGCATGTAAAAATATAACGGCATTTACGAACGAGGATTGTGTGTGTTTCTTTCCTATTTTTTTTTCTCCTTTATTTTTTTGTATTTTTTTTTGTATGCCTCTGTGGCGTTGCTTGTTCGCCTGTATTGATTGTAAATAAAGCGCATATTGCTCATACGACTTGTTGCCATCGGTTCCACTTCCTTTATCCAATCCTCCGGCCCGAATTGCATTGTCATTCCGAACGGCAAGAGTCATTCTGTCAGCTCAAGTTGGAATGGAACGAGATTGCGGATCTGCAGGGAAGGATGCCGGGATGCCGGCTCACCTCTGTAAAGGATATGGGTTATATCCCTTCCCCTTTTCCTCCTTTTAACATCGATTGATGACCGTGTATAACATATTCATTCCGCTGTGCGCAATTGTCGCTGGCATTTTGAGAAACCCATGGAACCAGTGCCATTTTTCCTGTTTTCCCTCCACCTTTTCCCTGCGAAATATTTTCCACCATCGCTGCAGTTTTTATATATATATATATATTATATTTTGAGCAGGCTAAAAAATATTTCAGATACCAATTTTATGCTGGTTGAATCGTTGCTATTTTGCGAATTATATTTCTCATATTTTCAGCCGTTCAATCGCTTTGTTACATCATTTTTATTGCATAAGAGAGAAGTATCATAAAAAATCCATTTAATTGCTTTTAGATTTCATTTACATATATCAACAAGGCAAAAAAAAAAAACAAAAAAGCGATTATCATATCTTTTTCAAATCTTTTTGTGCCTGTTTTCCATTTCAAATGACTTATCCTATTGTTATGTTTAATTAATGGCTCAAAATGTTACAGATGGAATAAATAATGGACTTAATGCTCACGCCGAACAGGCAGATATTTAAAATTGATTTATCTAAAGGGTTCAATTAAAAATGAATAGCGGGTGTATAAAATATAATTATTTCTAACTTTTGTATTGGCAAGTAAACTATTTAGAGGTTGAAAAATATTTACTGTGAGTGTGATTAGTTTTCCTTTTGCCATTTTATATTTTTCTCGGTGCAAAATCGCTCCTTTTAATTCCCTTTCACCATTATCCCTTTGAAACTAGCAAATCCATTGCGAAATCAATTCAATTAATTTGGACTGAGGTCCTGACTCAACGAATGATCTCCTAAACCAAGAAGTAAGTCCCATTCAATTAAATTTCACAATGTTCCGACCGAAAACTTGGCAAACAACACCTGTGGGTCTTAACCCTTATTCGAACATGTATGTGTGTGTGGGTGAGTGTGGGTGAGTGTGTGGGTGGGTTAAACGCACTGGGGAATTTGCATTTTCCACTCCTCCCCTGAACTAATCAAATTTCTGTCTGTTTATTTATTTATTCCACTGCGAAGGGTTGCGTTTACGGCAGCAGAGGGTTAAGGTAATGGAGGAGTGGCGAAATGGAGGAAAACTGGGGGGTTAGTTTAATGTCCGATTGATTGGCATGTCAATGGACAGGACAAATATTTGCGGGTGCCGGCAGAAATTGCTCATACGACTCGTTGGCAATAAATTGGGTCCTTAGTTGATTCATTTGTTTTGCCCGGCCAAACAAATCTTGGCAGCAGCTGTTGCACACACACACACACACACAATGTTGCAACAATCGAGGGGGGAAGTGGGGATTACAATTACGGAGTTGCATATTTAAGCGGGGTCATTCCTTGAATGAATTCGATTTCAACGGAGCTCAGCTGCCGCCCATTTTCCACCCATTTTCCAGAAGCCTTCCCAGCAAGACAAACAACTTCAAGGAAAAGCCATTAAAAAACGGTGAAAACTTTGGCAGCAATCTGTCAACACTTTCCCCCGTTTCCTCCCTTTTCCCTTCGCTTTTTGGCCAGGTGCCCGCAAATGCCCAGCGGTAATTATTTATACGGCCCGCCCGGTTGACCCCTGACCTCGGAACGGACCACAGAATAAGAAAATACAGGGGAGGTAAAAAAACGAAAGCAATTAGTCACAAAGTTTTGGGCTTGAAAAGTTTCTGACTTGCATTTTTAAGGAGCCGCTGCCCCAAAAAATGGCCAAAACAAAAGCACCAAGAGGAAGAGAGCAAAACCAGCTAAGTAAATGTAATGTCCTGCTTAGCAGTAAAGGGAGCAGATGAAAAATAAGTTCCTGCTGAGCGGAAAAGCGGAAGGGGAAGATAGAGGAGTGTCGTAAAATAAAGGTGTAACTAATAGTAACAGTTAACACAAAACATTGTATGGGCCACAACAGGTTACCAAAACTGACGGTTAAGGTAAAGGTAAAGCTGAAGGTAAAGGTAAAGGTAACAACCAACGGTAAAGCTAAAACGGGGCAACAAAGCACAGAGTTAATGTCGGATTTTGGGGGGGAAAGGATCGTAAAAAGCGAGCTCAAAATAGCTGTATTAAACATAAGCAGAGAACGCACTTTTAAAAGTAGTAAAGGTTGCAGGATATTATTGGAAGTGCCCATTGCACTTAGGGTTCGAGTTAAGAAAATGCCATTAAAGTGAAAAAAGACTATTAACTTCGGGAAAACTTGGTAAACGAAAGCAATGTTCAAAGCAGAGGGAAAAGATTGCATATTAAAGTCACGGACCAGAGACTTTATTTCACAAACATAATCAACTTTGAAGATGTGATCCCACATCAAGTTAAGGCATTGTCCACTGTGATTGACCAACAAAGTCGGGGAAGCAAAATGCACAAACCTCACTATTTGTTGTTGGCAAAAAGAGTGAGCTGGAAAAAAAAGCAATAACTGCAGCTGTCAGTTACATCAACAATAACATGTCAATTTATAACAAAGTAGCTGCAAACGTGGCCACGGGAGAAGCGATAAAATTAAACCATAAATGTCAAGTGCCCCTCCAGATTCCTGGCAATTCTCGAAAAAGGAAACTCAATGCCTGACAACGGACTCGTGGCACTCCACTCCATTCATGCAACCGAACTTTAGCCGGCTAATCCCAAGTTTCTCAATCGAATCGAATCGAATCGAATCGAATTCGGGCTCAGATGGGGTGACTTTATTGCCAACGCCGTTGACTGATGAGTCAGTTAGCTCCTCCGATTTACCCAATCCCCCAATCCGCCTCGTCGATGAACAACTTGCCGATGGAAAGGAAAACACTTTTGAATTATGCATTTGTCTGGCAGGCGAGATACGTATGTGGTGCGGGTTTGCCGCGGAAAATGTCTGCACCTTTCCGTATTTTGATTGATGCTCGCCGTACGAAAACAAAAACAAATCAAAATGAGAAAATGCCAATCGGGGGCGAAATGGGAAATGAGTTTGGGCCAAATGCGAAGGGCAGTGCTGCCTCGCATAAATGCCACGGCAAAACAAACAAGTAAATAAATAAGGAAACGGAATTATTGCAGGTTAAGTCGGTGGGTGGGGAAAACACTGCTCCATTGCAGACATTGTGGATGGAAAAATAATAAAATCAGGCAGATGCGGAATTGATATGGTGTTTATTAGGGCAGCGCTCCTCCTCGGGGTGTATATTAAAAATTTGTAAACAAAGCTAACTTTAAATGATCAATTTACATTCTTTTGAGGCGCATAAAAAATAATTTTGAAGAAGAAACCACGTCAAAAAGTTTTATTAAGAATAAGTAACTTTTCTAAAAATAAAATTGAAATCAAATATTTTTGTAATATTAAAACATAAATAAATACAAATTTGGTCTCTATTTTAGTTAAAGGTAAATCAATATAATATTTTAAATTTGGTAAGCAAATTGATTGTTGCTAATACACAAATGCAGCTTTAAAAGAAGAGTACCTGCTGCATAAAATTTTATTGGAGAAGTGATTCATTAAATTTACCTAAAAAAATTATTGTTGTTTTTGTATTTATTGATAACCAGTTAAAAATGATTAAATATAATAATTTATATCATTGTGAATTATTATAGTGAATAAACATACATATTTCCATTCAAATATGTAAGAAAAGTGTTGTTGAAAAAGGATGTTTGCTTGAATTAATCTACATATTAAATGGTTTTTTAATGCTTCAGCTCCAAACTAAACTAAAGAAATCGAACATACGTATACTATATTACTTCTGAAACGCACTGTACCGCTTTGATTGGGCATATCGTAGTTATTTCGATTTACTTACAGTATGTATCCGTTGTTAAGCGATCAATGGTATCCTGTTTCAACTTGGAGCTCTTTTTTCCCATGTTGTTCTTGTTGCGGCTCCCTAGTAACTGTTGTTTTTGTTGTTGTTGTTGTTGTTTTTATTGTTGTTGTTGTTGCACTTGACTGCTATTGCTTTTTAGTGGCAAACTTTTTTGTTGCGCAAGTTCGTCTTACTTTGCTTTATTTTCGTTTTGCTATTGGTGTTTTTTTTTTTTTTTTGGGATATTCAAAACTTTGCCATAAGTATTTTAATATGCTTTATAATTCTGCTAAGCAAAAAAAAAATTAAATGCGAAGAAAGGAGAAAGTACGGATGCATAGTTCACAGCACATTTGCTGATATTAAATCTATAGATATATAAGTTAGTTTTTTCCCTGTTTCGATATCTGCCGAAGATAGTTTATGAAAAGTTTGCGGCACTTCTTCTCATCTCTCGACTCAAAAGTTTCGAGGAGAGTTTAAAGGGAGTACGAAGTGATCTTATCTGAAGGATGCTTCAACTTTTATCCTTTTTTTTTTGGTCCACGAGGACTCATCCATCAAACTTATCGATAATCCTCCATGTCCTCGTTTTTGATTATTTTTCAGTTTTTTGGGCAATGTTCAATTAGTGATTTTCCAGACAACAAAGTCGAACTGCACGTCGATGATTATAACGAGGCCAAAGGCGTGCCAAAAAAAGAGAGGGGCCGTGGCAGGGAAAGCACAAAAGGGGGGAGAAGGGGGAAAGGAGAAAGGCATAAAAATACACAGAGCGACACTTTTCAGGTCAACTCACGACTCGAACTTTTCATGACAGTTGGCAACAAAAAAAAAAGAACCCGTCTACAGGGGGGCGGGAAAAAGGAGGCGTAGAGGGGAGGGGGCGTGGCCCGCTGCAGAGGATGCAAACAAAAGCGCATAAAAAACTTAACCCTGTGTGTGCCGAGGGGGTTAAATGTGGACGATGGCGGGAAGGAGGAGAAATGGCTGCTTCTCTGTGTTGCCTTCTGCGGTTGACGCGAATGGCATAAAAATAAGTTGCCTTTGTTTTTTTTATATGTATTTTTTTTTTCTCCCACCTCCCTCCAGAGAATGGCGGGGAGAATAAAGAAAAGGCGACGGGGAAAGACGGGGGGATGCAGCATGCAATGAAATAAATTCTGTTAATTTCAGATGCAGTCCCACTGAGATGTCGCATGCAAAACGCTCGCATCAAGTGCAGAAACGAAATCAAAAACACTCGAACCCCAAAGGGGAAGTCAGGAGCCCGGGAAACGTGACAGAACCGCTGTTCACCGGCAGCAATCCGGGTTTATCCTCTGAGTTATCCTCCGCCGGAGAGGAGACTCCAATCTTAATTTGTTGCAGAACAAGAGCGGATTTTTATCGAAACGCCATAAACTGCCTTATGCTGGCTTTCCTTTTCTTTCGGATCTCAGATGAGCTACTTTGCAAATCTGGCCATCACAATTTAAAGGGACTACTAACAATATTATATTACTTTGAGATCCGTTTAGTTTAGATTTAGTTTTTTTTTACGTGAAAGTCCTTTTCACTTTACAGTAATTCAATAAATTTTTATCTATTACAAATAATTTAATTTGCTCAACTGTTTCTAATAGTTCTATTATATATAAAGCTTTTTCCTGTCTGGATTTATTTGAGTTAGTTTAAATTCTTTTTTTAGCTAACTAACAAAGTAAAAATTTCACTGATTCTGCAAACTCGTGTACGCAAAACCTATTTATATAAAACAATCCCAAGTTTTGCTAAGGGAGTCTTCTAGATGTAAGACATCCTCCTGAAGTTTCGCAATCAAAACCCCCGAAAATCTTCAATAGCCCGCAATAGCATTCGCCGAATGGCAAGTGTGTAGAATTACTCGGGGTAATGGGGTCACCTGCTTTCCCTTTTAATGAACTCTTTTATTACGAGGGTGGGCACAATTATGTAAAGCCTTGCTCGCTGCAGAGAGACCCTCAATATCTTCGTTCAAGTCGGGCGAAATTCTTGTTGCTTTTCGACTTTGTTTGTTTACAAAACTGTCGCACACACACCCAAGCCCAACACACATACACACACACACATGCGGAGAGAGAGAGGAGGCGATACACCCACACTTGCACGCCCCTTCTTCCTCTTCCTCTCTTTCTCTCAATCCTGCGAACATGAGCCATTGGCATTTGCTAACTAAACACAGTTTGTCTCCGTCCGTGTTTTGTGTCTATGTCTGTGTGTGTGTGTGTGTGTGTGTGTTAGTGTTATCATGTCAGGTGTGCTACTGCGTATGCAAGTGTGAGTGTGGATGTGCGTTTGCCTGTGTGCGTTTGTCGCAGTGTTTCAGTTTCATTCTGCGTTGCCTTTTACAACGAGCGACGAGCTGAAATTTGTTCACACTAAAAATATTTTTACGTTTATTTCGTTCACAGCTGGCTGCTAATGCAGTGCCAACGAGCGAGATGGCACTACACAGACAGGGATGCAGATATCAGGAGAAGGTCCTTGCTATCTCTTCACTACCCCCTTTCCCTCCGCCTCCCCCTCCCCCTCTCTCTTTTTGCCCCAAAAAAGTCCTGGCTTGTAACTCGACTCGTTTATCTGTCTGAATGTGTCTCATCTCCTCGCTTTTTTCCTTATATTATATATATGTGTGTTTGTGTGTGTGTGCTTATTTTTTATGCTGCCTGCTGCAGTTGTTGTTGTCTTTCAGCCTCCCCCTCCTTCGGCCACGCCCCCTCTTCACCCAACGCCTCCTCTATCCTTCGGTTGCGTGTTCATCTCGCGTTTAGCCCGCGAGCATGCAACACTTTTCTCGCACTCATCCTGCTACACTCGCCAACAAAAAAGAGTTTGGGGAAAGTATGAGCGGTGGGGGGAGCGGTTGGTGGAGCGGTTGGGGGAACAAAATGGAAATGGACATGGCCAGAGGACCGGAACGCGGTAAATGGAACGGAGCTACGCGTTAAGTTATTTGAATGAAATGGATTGTAAACGATACCCGAAAGTTGAATTCCACCCAAAGAAAATATAACTTCTAGCGTAATGATTGAATTTCGTGGAATTCATATTCGAAAAAATTTTCAACTTATTAAATATAGAAATGACAGAATATGATTCTTTAATAAGCCAGCTTAAACAAGGAGGGTAAATCCTTAAATTAAACAACAATTCCTCAAATTCTTCCAATGATTCTAAATAAGTTATAAAGACGAACGCTTTAAAATGGCATTACATTCAATATTTAAACTAACATAAAACAATTGCTCAAGGCTTTTTTTAATATTGTAAAGCAACAATTTATATTTATTTCTATAGCTATACTTTATTCTTCCCGTGTAAAAATGTAAATGAAGATTGAGTTGGCCAAAAGAAAGAGGAAAGAAAGCGAAGATGCGGAACCCACAACGGCACCGCCGTCACCCCGAATCACCAGCGGAGGCGGTAAATTAATTTTTACATCCACTGCCAGCGAAAAGGATGAATGACAAAAACGCCCACGAATATGAAGCGAAGGACTCGATGCAAACAATGCACAACTCGAAGGTTTCGAGGACAGACGAAGGATGAGCTCCTGAGCGGCGAGGACCTCATGAAGGAGGATTGCAATCAAGTTGGCGTGGGATTGCCTAAATGTCGGTGCCTACCTTAAGGCGATTGGATTAGGCCAGGCTCTCAGGCGAAACTCATCTCGGCAATGGGAATTCCACAGAGCATTTAATGTGGAATTCCTCGGAGGAAACTGTGATTGGCGTAGTGGTTCTCAGCAAATAAATGCTGCTATTTAAATTGAAATATTCATGGCACGGACCAAGTGAAATTTAATATGAATTTCCATATTGCAAATTCAGTTTCATTACAAGCTAACTCACCAAATAGATCAAATAACTTTGTAAATAATTTAATTTGGTTCTTAGAACACAAAAGCTGTTTTTAATGAACAACATTTTACGTGCCGAAGATCTTTTATGAAATTCTCGAATAATTTAATAAGGCATGGAACAAAAATAAAGCAACTAAACTGAATTCCTTTTGTTATTAAAATATATAATTCGGAATCTATAAAATTTTGAAAATCAAATCAAAAATATTTCAATAGTTAACCAACTAAAATATCAATCCAAATAGGGTGAGTTATTATATGTTATTGAATTTTAATTTGTACATTCTTGGAAGAAATTTTTACATTTGGAGGAAAGAGAAACTAATTTTAATAGCTCAAAACTTGAATTTATTATGCCGTTGGTTTTTGAAACACTGAAGCTTTGCAGGTTTTTCACCATAAAAATATTAAAGTTTGTGAACTTTAGATCTATCGAACACTTTAAAAATGAAAAGCTGAAAGACGGTTTAAAGGAAACCTCAGCTATTAGGCCTTAATAGAGCACTTTAAGGCCGTCTCGTTCGAAATCAAATATCTCACTTTGCAGATCGTCAAATGGCGGCAGATTGCATCTATTAAGCCCCGACAGATTGCCCAATTTGGTTACAAATGAGGGAGGCGGAGATCTTATCCTTCGGACTGCCATTCCTGCCATTGCTGGCATTGCGATTTTCCGTGCTCGATTCCGGGGACTTGAGCGCCCGTTTTGGCCATGGCCAATTATCAAATAATTGACGCAAATTAAAATGCATTTTGTAGTCGTGTTTTGTCGCCTATTTTGTTTTGTCACTCGCAAAAAAAAGCGGAAAAAAAATCGTGGAGAGGAAATTCAGTGGGCAAAACGAGGAAATGACACGCAAGGTGAGAGCTGCAAGTTGCAAGCTGCATTTGTGATTACGAACGGATTGTGTGCGGATGATTGCGGCCATTGATGGATGTTCCAAGGAGTCCTATCCCACGTTCACCTTTCTCCTCAGCCTTTCTCCTTTCTCCTTCCTCTTTCCCCTTCCTCCAAAACAGAAACAGAAACAGAGTCCTTGGAGGTTAAGTCTGAGCGTCGCGACACGAGCTCAAAACGGGGGGAGAACTTATTTTTGTTTACATAATCCTTTCACGTTGTCTCGCTGTCGGTGCCGCCCACCCCCTCCTCTCCTCCCGCTTTCTCCACCGCCCACCCCCGTAGGCCCTTTTTTAGCGGCAGCTGCTGGACCGCAAAACGTAAATTTGGGTCAAGTTTTGTAAGCATAACGAATGCCAAAACCAAAACCAAAACTAAAAAACCCCAACCAAACCCAAAAGCCATTCCATATGCATAAATGCGAAGGCAGCCTTCGTCTCCCGTCTCTTTCTAGCACCTCTCCTGCTATCTCTTTCCGAGTGTGTGTGTGTGTGTGTGGGTGTGCGTGGGTGTGTGGGGGTCCCTTTTGTTTTTTTTTTTTTTTTTTTTTTCTTTATTTATTTATTTAGTGCAGAATCTGTACAGCAAATTAAAGTACTTAACAACACAGGTGTCACCAATGAGAAAAGTAAACCAAACCTCAGCATTAAGAAGAGGATTATATATAGTATTTTCTTATTGATTCCTTATCGTCTTGGCAAAGCCTTGCCTTTTGAGACGCCTCAAAGGTCTCGCTGGGAGTAGATTCCTAGCCAGTAAGCTGCGGTGTCTTTCTAATCTATCTCGGTATCGGCTTGTGTGTCTCCCAATCTGTTCTTCCACAGTGTGTAGATTTAGGTCTCTGTGAAGTGTCGTGCCACGCACATACCAGGGACAGTTAGTAATGGTACGTAGAAACCGATTCTGCAACACTTGTAACCTTTTGTAGTTCGATTTGGCTGCGATCCCCCAAATTTGAATACCATAAAGCCAGATTGGCAGGATACAGAATGCATATACTGCCCTCTTGCATCTCAGCGGCAAAGTGCTCCTTCTGTGTGTAAGCCAACGCAGTTGCTGAATCCTTTGGTTACATTTTTTGACTGTTGCTTTCAGATGTGGTCCGAACGTAAGGCGCTTATCCAGTGTGATACCAAGATATTTTGCTTGCGACGGCTGTTCCAAACTGACTCCCTCTAGCTGGATTTCAGGGGTGTTAGATACAAGTCTCTTCAGTGTAAAGCAGGGGTTCGTAGTTTTTTGCGGATTGATTCTCATATTCCAACGTTTACACCAAGCAGAAAGATCCTTAAGGTATTCTTGTATTCCATTTGCTGCTTCCCTCCGACATCTGGAATTGTAGATGACTGCAATGTCATCTGCATATGTAGCAATCAAAGCTTTGGAAGGATCTATCATGTGATGTCTGTTTGGGCTTGGTATATCCACTGTATATAAAGAGTAAAGCAGCGGCCCAAGCACACTGCCCTGAGGTACTCCTGCTCTCATTCTATAGTTATCAGAGTATCTGTCCCTAACTCTGACCTTGAACTCCCGTTCTTCTAGGTAGGATCTCAGAAGACCATAGTAGGGGGCAGGTAGGAGGTTTTTGATTTTAAGCAAAAGTCCAACATGCCACACCTTATCGAAGGCTTGCTGCATATCAATGAAAACTGCGTTGGAATACTCTTTGTCATCAAAGGCCTGCAAAATATGTTTCACCAATCTATGCACTTGTTCCACAGTGCCGTGTCCTCTTCGAAAACCAAATTGGTGGTCTGGCAAGATATTGTCTCGATTCATGATAACTGCTATTCGATTGGCAATGAGTCTCTCCCACAACTTGGACAGGGACGATAAGAGGCTTATCGGACGGTAAGACTCAGGATCAGCCTCTGGCTTACCTGGCTTGTGGATCATCTGAATTGCTGCTAATTTCCATTGCTTTGGGAACACTTGAGTCCTAATAATAGCATTAAATATTAAAGCTATAAATAGAATCGCTTTTATGGGCAAGGCCTTCAACGTTACGTTGCAAATTCTATCAATTCCTGGAGCCTTATTTTTCGGTAAGGACTGGATAACTTCAGATATTTCTTCAATCCTTATAGGCTTTATTGGCAACGACATCTGCAGAGGCGTCTCCAGAGTTTGATGGGTCTCGCTAACCTGAACTGTCGATGCAAAGCTATACGGAGTGAAGCGTTCTTCTAGATGTAGACCGAAAGCATTGGCCTGCTCCACTTCATTTTTGCGAGCTCACCACTGGGACACCGAACAGGAACCTGTCTAAGGGGCTGGCGCTTAAGCGATTTTGTACATTTCCACAGTGAATAATTTGCATCCACCGTGTAGTCCATGGAAGACAATTTATGCTCAAAAAAATCGCTTCGAAGTCTCCTTAAAAGGGTTCGAAGTTGCATTGCAGCTCTGTACCACAAAATACGGTCTTCAGGATCTTGAGAACGAATTGCTCTTCTTCGAAGGCGCCTTTTTGTTACAATTAGCGCCTTGGCTTCCCTTGTGAGAACAACACCATAATTGATAGGACGATAATCCGGTTCCAAAGGCGTCGAAGCAGAAGCAGCCATATAAATATTATTAGTTAGAGTGTCAACTGCATTCTCAATGTCTTGTCGTGAGTCCAGAGCAGAATTTAGTTGAAAGGAGTTATCAAGAATTTGTTTGAAAGAAGTGAGATCAGTCCGACTTGTTATTAACCGAGGGCTTCGGGTGATATTGGAACCATTTGTTAGTAGATTAACAATAAGGGCAATGTGATCAGACTCCAAGTCCCAGTTTTGGCAGATATTGATTTGAGAATCCATAATTCCGTGGTATAAAGCAAAATCGATGCAAGTAGCAGTGTGGCTAGGAACATATGGGTATCTCGTTGGTGAACCAGTGGCAAGTATTTTGGACCCTCTGGCTGAAATCGATTCAACCAGCTCACGGCCTCTGGGTGAATTGTAGGTGTCACCCCACATCCAATGTCTAGCATTCCAGTCACCACCAACTATGTACCTCTGACCACAAGAAGAGAGTATATCAGTGAAATGTAAATTAATCTTTGACTGCCGCACAAAAGTATGCTACACAAATATAAATAAACACTTAATCCCTTTGTTGATTTTTTATTTGAAACACAACTATTATTATTATTGTTTTGTCCGTAATGTTTTCATTTCATTTTCACACTGTGCTTACTTTTTGCTTGTCGTTGTTTATTTTAGCTTATTTGGTTTAATTTTGTTTGTTGTTTTTTTAACCGAAAAAAAAATTCTCAACTATTTGGTGGATAGAACTTTGAAAAAAAAGGAAAACAAACCAACTACATGTAATTTCTTTATTTTTGTTAATTTTTGGTTGGTTAGCTATTTTTTTTATTTATTTTTTTTTTTGCTATTGTTGTTGCTGTTGATTTCTGTGGACCGGAGAGCGCGTTTAGGCCTTTTTTGTTTTTTTTTTTTTTTTTTTTTTTGTGGGTTTTTGGTTGTCGAGGCGTTTTCTTTAACCAGCCGAGCTGCGTTGCGTTTGTTTGGCGGTCAAATCGGCGACTGAAAGCGCTCTGCACGCTCCACGGCAAACTGAATACGGAATACGGCGAAATGTACGGCTGGCTGGCTATATGTGTGCGCTATCAACAACTGAGAACTTTTTTGGTAACATTCTCAATGGGCCGTGGTGGGTTTGCCGTTGTGGGCCACCCAATATCCCCAAAGGGGCGGGGGGAAATCGGGGGATTGTTGGATTCGCCTCGCGACTCATAACCGACTTATATAACGCACACAAATGCAGGCAGCAAACGGAATTCACCACACGAAACGATGACGAAGGCGCAGGCCACGAAGCTTTTCACCACACCCTCACACAAACACGCACACACACACACATACGCTCTCCACAGTCACAGAAGTGTGCGTGTTGAGGCGCCTCTGTGTGCGTGTTAAAAGCTGCAAGAACTTACAACAAAAAACGCAAAGAGTTTCAGCAGCGGAGGACCAAAAAAACGCCAGCGGAAAAATGGGCCACTGGCAGGCGAGCAAACTCCAGTGCCAAGAAGAACGGAGGACGAAGGACCTCTGGTGGATTGAACCCTGCGAGAGAATCCCGTGGACTCAAGTCCTGCAGCAGCAGCAGAAGCAGCAACAACAACAACAGCAGCAGCAGCAGCAGGAGCCATCGACAATTACCAAAAGCTGGCAATGGTCTTAGATAAGAGGCCAAATCGCCGAAGAGCAGGAAAAACTCGAACAAGAACTGGGACAATCAGCCAAGCAGTTAGCGATAAATTTCCCCCGCTTTTCAGCACACAGCGAAAATCGAATTTTCAAATAAATGCTTGCCTATATATAATGAAAGTAGTTCGAATTGTTTTTTATCATATTATTTTTGTAAATTTCAGTTGGATAGAATCATTGTTAAAAGGCTTTAACTTTTTGGGGACAACTAATCATCTTATCTAATATTTTAAAATCACTTTATTTATTATATAGGTGTAACATATATTTTATTACCCAATATGCAGTATTAAATCACTTTCACAAATGTTTTATACACAATTGATGCCAAAAATAGCATACAACTCATGTATAAATGATTTAATAGAGCTATATTGGGATCTTTACTAAGTAAGGCATCAAATACTTATGGAGTTACAAGTATATTTGCTAATTTTAAACACCAGCCACTTCAAGATCTAAGCACTAAATAAAAAATTTTCAATACTAACCCAAATTTTTTTTAAATATTTTATAAAATATTCATCCTCTGAATGCTCTTAACGTTTAGGCAACATTTTCTGCGGGATAAAAATGTAATCTATATTGTTCGATTGGTGACAAATATTGCGAATATTTTTGCCTTGTGTAGGAGCAGCAGTTGCTGGGGGAAAAAAGTTTATCACCAGAGCGGCAGATACGCGGAATCGTAAAGCCGGGGAAAGTGCGTACGAGCGTATTGTCAGCCAGCGGCAGACGCACCTCAAAAGCGAGTCCTTTCCCATTTAATCCCTCCCCCCTTCCCTTCCCTTCTGCCATCATGCCATTGTTTTTTTGTTTTTGTTTTCGGGATCCCTACTCTATGACGTGGCTGGGTAGCAATCCAGCAATCCAACAATCCAACAAACGAACAAACAAACAAATACATGGCATAACACGATAATAATAAAAATACAAACATTTGCCATTGCGTGTCCCCCAATGACGTAACCCCCCCTGAAAACACACAGAAAGACAAAGACAAGCAGAGAGTTTCGGGGGGTGGTAGGGGGTGGGGGGGTTTTAGGGGTGCCTGTGTAAAGGGGGCGGGGCAGGTAGGGGCAGCGAAACCACATCGAAGTGGGTGGGCATCGGCGGTACCGAGCGAGCAAGTTCACTTCGAGTTGCGTTCCCGGCTGAAAATTTACATTTTTCTATGTGCGTACAGTGCGGTGCGAGAGTATAAGGTGAGCACAAAAAACAAAAGAGACATGCCATGGCTATAATAGAATATATATATTGTATAAAAATAATTCACATTCAACATTATTACATTGTAATATAAATATTTGTCTATTACAAATTTATTATCATTTCTTTTTAAACATTTCGATCATTAATTGCTAGGATATAAATTAAATCCACGAATTAATGATTTATATTTGTAGAACCTAATTTAAATTATTTATGGGTTATGTGTGTTGGTTAAATGTTAAATATATTGTTTGGATTAAAATTTATTATTATTGGTCTTTTTACTAGTTCTATCAAATTTCACATAATTTATGATAACAACATTGATTATAGGGAATTCGTTTTCGATCTGTACATAAAGCTGTTGGTTATACAAAAATTATAATAATTTTATTTTGGGGTAAATGTGACTTGGTTGACTTACTTTCCATGAAACCCACTGTACACACGCACACACGTGTCGCGTTGGCAGCGTTGTTGTTCCAGTTGTTGCCATGCCCGTTAATTGCCGGCCAGTAGCCGCATCATTTTTAATGGCCCTCCGGAGGACCGTGAGGTGTTAATATCGGGAGCGAGACATCTGCGGATTCTCGCCGATCCTTGGTTCATTGAGCAGTTCATTAAAGACGACTCTGCGGATCGCTGCTAAAAATACGAGTATACATTATATACACACTTCGTGTGTGTTTATCCATTCAGATGGAAATGGCCAATTTATCAAAATCCAAAGCAAATCCAAATAATTTTCAGCTGCAATTAGACGAACTAAACTTTTATGAGTCAGACGGTTCAATGTTTGTTTTTACTTCTGTTTGTTTGTTATGAAATTTCCCAACCCAACCAAATCCAATCCGAAGCTCGCCCCCCCTTTTCCCTCCTGCTCCTCTGCTCCTCAAGTGGAAATGAAAATTGAAATGGAAATGGGAATATTTCTGCTCAGTTTATATGTCCAAGTTGAGTGCAGTGAAAGAAAACAAGCGGCAAACAAAACTCTTTGCCATCAATCAAATTTAGCTCGCTTTTTTTTTTTTTTTTTTTTTGTTTTTAGTTTTTTGTTGAACACAGTTTTCCATTTTCATTTCCGTTTTTCCAGTCGACTCGATTGCGTCAGAGACAGTCGAGGGAACTTAATTTTAAAGTTCCTAGAAGTTGCTAATCCTCCGGCTCGCCTTCCTTCTTTTCCTTCGTCTTCTATCCCAAGATTTGGCGATATAAAAGAGAGAGAGAGGGAGGTGGGGTTGAAAATAAAGAAGAAAAGAAGAGAAAGGACAAGAAGAAGACATTGCCGAGTTGTCGTAAGCGCTGACTAATCAGCGTCATTATCAAAAAAAGCCACAAAAGCAGCACAACACAAAATACGAGTAAAACATGAAGGGACTTGGGGAATGCGGCATCACATTTTGTGATTATCATTGCGAGGCGAAAGTGCTTTTTAATGTCGCCGAGCATTTTAAATAATTAGCTAAAGTGGGTGGGGGCGGCGGTGGCGGTATGGAGATGTTTTAGGGGCTCCCAAAACATCCTTGTTCCCCATTCTCTCCCACTCCCCACTTAAATACTCCATTTGTAATTAGCTCTTAACTTGCGCTTGTGCTTCTGTCTTAGCTCTTCTGAACAAAAGAAAAAGAGTTATTTCACAGCCTGGCTGATCCTTTTATCCGTTTTCAAAAAAAAAAAGAAAAGAAAAAGAAGAAAACGTGAAACGTAGCTGAAGGTGACAACCCTGGCAGCGATAACGGAAGCCCACGTGGCGTATGCGGAATGTTGCCCCTTTTACGACAGACATGTCCGCTGTTCCCTTGTTTTCCACATCCTGCGGTGGCCAAATTAATTTACGGATACGGGAATACGAAGCCTACCGGAACAAGGCGAAGCTAAGCATGCTAAAAAAATGAGGGGTTCCCCTACACCCACCACCGAAAAAAAAACATGAAATAATAATAAATAAATTCATTAACATAAAACACGAAGAGCAAAAGGGAGAGGGGTGAACTCAGGAGAGGGGGAGCGGTGAATTGGAGGGAGGGGGGGTGAATTGGTGGAAGGGGTGGTGGGTTATTCAGGGGGTGTTGGCCAGGAATGCGTGACGGCAGACGGAAGTTGGGACTGGCTCGTTACCTGCCTGGAGATTATCATCAGCGGATTGTTATTGTTTCGGGGATTTCCATTGTGCTTCCTTTTCTTTTCTTGTTTTTTTTGTTTTTTTTTTTTTTTTTTTTGTGGCTAGCATCGTTAGCGGATGCCCCAAACCCTCGAAGCCCATTCATTTGCATAATTTTTTATGCCACGAGCGGTGTCGAGTGGCAGTTGTCCCCACTCGAGTTCCATCGATGGCGGCAATGTTATCAAATATTATTTTTTCGGACCTCAAACCTTAACCCCTGGCCGTTCATGTGCTGGTTGGGTGTTTAAGTGTGTGTGTGCGAAGGGTTAAAACACTTTTATGCCTCATCAACGCAGTTTTACGCTCAATGCGCACCGTCAACTTTTATTAATTGAGTTTTGTATGAAGTGACAAGGGGAAAAAGAGGTTCAATTTGCAAGCAGACTAGGCTAAAAAATCATGGAAAGGTGGAAAGGAGACACATGAAAATGGTAACCCAAAATGATTAGGCAGAAAGTGAGGATACTAGAAGAAAATTCTGTGAATTATAGGCCATATTTGTTGAAATTAAACAATTTAAAAGGACTTAAGTGAAATGGAAAACCATTAATATTTATTAAATAATTATTTTAAAGGCAATGCCAGTTTTGCAAGGGATGCAAAACCAATTCTGTTCTAAAATTAGCCCAAACGTAAATGTTCGCTTAAGCTAAAAGAGAAGGAGAAGCATCGAAGGAGCCCCCAGAGAAACGCAAGGCATTCCCTGCTGATTGAACTGAGTGGGCTGCGGTGGCCATAAATCAATCGTAGCCACTAAATCATTAGCCATAAATGGCCGCAGCCCCACATCATCAAGAAGTTTCAATTGGGCGAGAATTTTGGAATATTTCGTGCGAGGGGCCTTGTGAGTGATTTCATGTGGGTAGAGCATAAAAACCTTAACACTTTCCTTGATTGGACCAAGCAATAAGAGTTTGGGCCGCAGGGTCATGTTATGTTATATAAGGTCCACTTTCTCCCACTCTTTCCACGGCGGAAGTGGACAGCCATATAAT